GTCCCCCACAAATCATCACAGGTCTGGTAGGTGCAATTGTACAGCGATAATAATTAAATATTATAGTACAGTCTTAGAGAGCATGAGAGGGAAAAGAGAGACTGGAATGATGGAGTCAGACACAATTCATGGTAGCATGCTCCCCTCAGCCCCGCATGGTGGTCCTCGTGGGGGGAGCCCGGCTGCGTGAGCAGCAGAGAGCCTAGGGGCGAGAGCAGGAGAGCCCCCACTTTATTGTTAACCAAAGGTTATATCTCCTTCGGGAGGCATGGTTACAGGTAACCATGTGTCACAGGAAGGGGCAGTACAAGAGGCATACACATTATAGGAAGGGGATGTATGATAGGCATAAGCGTGACAGGAAGGGGTGAGCTAGGGGTGTGCTCATAGGAATGGGAAGTTCTAGGGGTATACATGTGACACGATGGGTGGACCCTAGATTTATGATGGCAGCCTAACCTTGGTCATCCTTGGGCGGGTTTGACCTCTCTGGTGTCTCCTACACGGAAACAGACAACTACTATCCTTATCAGAAGGGAGTGGGCCCTACTTGTTGTGGGATAAACAGTGGTGTCAGCTTGCTCTAGATGGCTACTCCTGATGACCTCCAAGTGTATAGTCATTCGCAAGCAGCTAAGTTTGGCATATATTTGGAGGAGACAACTTGGGAGAAATCCTTCTGTTTCCCATAGCTCTCCTTGAAGGGAACAATGTCAGAAGGGAGTGGGCCCTACTTAGGGTGAGTCAGATTATACAGCCTGGTTGCTCTAGATACCTTTAAGGAGAATAACCTCTGACCTACTTTCGTTGACCTCCTAGTGTACAGTCATTTACCATGTGTAGCAAGCAGCGTGTTGGGTTTGGCATATATTTGGGGGAGACAACTTGGGAGAAATTTTTGTTTCCCACACCTGAGTAAATGTTTTTTTATAGTGTTATAAAACAAAGGCCTGTAGGAGTAGAGATTACACAAAAAGATGAAATTCCATCAAGGAGGATGCGTTTGAACTTTTGGCAGGCTGGTGAGTTTAAGGAAAGAACAAAAAAAGGGGTATATGGAAACAGGTAAGTACCTGGCCTAACTGGGAAACACTACACAAAGTCAAGTGTGGCTAAAATACAGGGCAGAGAGTCTGACTTTACTCTGTAGATAGAAAATAATCAAAGATTCCAAACTGTTAGGTAGGCTAGCTTAGGGCTGGGAAGTCCGTTAAGGCATGCCCAGAGGGCCCCAGAGGGCCAAGCTATGGAAACAAAGGAGTGGCACACGGCACATGCTCAGAGGTTCAGGTTTCCTGCTGGTACACATGAGTGGGCGCTGAGCCTGGATTGGCCCACTTAGGCCGGGTGAATTCAATTCAGCGAATGGGGTCATCCACCACGCCTCCCTGTGAAATCATTGAAAAGGCAGGAGCCCGGAGTCGACCGCCAGAACTTTGGGACACTTTTGCGTCACACCAAGTAGCTTCCAGGCAGGCTGCATGCTCGGGGGGAGTCCTCTGGGTGCCCGTGTAAACCTGAAACTTCTAATGCTCATAAAACTCACTTGGATCACGAACCAGGCTTCTCGCCCGGAGCCAAGGAGCCAAGGACCGAGGTATATCTAGCTCCAGAGAGAGCTAACAAAACTAGATTATGTGGTGAGTAAGTGGCAGAGCTACAACCAAGCAGACAGCAAGGAAGGCCCAGGAAAATATGGAGATGGAAAACTGGAAATACAGTATAGATAAAATCAGTTAGGAAGCCCAAAATATAATTTGGAGGTCAACTGGGTTGCGAATATCCTGAACACAGATCCAAACGAAACAAAACTCACAGCCATCAAGTCAACACCTACTCACAGTGGCTCTAGGACAGAACAGCTTCTGTGAGTTTCCGAGACCGTAACTTTCTACATAAGTGAAAAGGCTGTAGGAGCAGCTGGTGGTTTTGAACTACTGACTTTGCGGTTTGAAGGCCAATGCACAATCATTGTTCCACAAAAATATCTTATATGAGCAAATTTTTTTTAAAGAATTAGAAAAATATATAGAATGAAACATATACATTATTCCTAAGTAAGCCATTAACTTTAAGCAAGTACAATTATGATTACAATGCAGTGAATTATCAAATATGGCTCATAGCCATAGCATGTTATGCCCATCAAATGACCTTTGGGTAAGGGCTGGAGGAAGACACTGGATTATATGGTTCAGCTGTGATTGTTAATGGGGTTGTAATCGCCATTCTGCTGAGTCTGAAACTAGCTATCTCAGGTGCAGGAGCGGGGATTTCACCATCAGTAAGAGAAAAGTCAGGAGTGGATCAAATCACTTGGACCCCGAGATTCCTGTGCATTAAACTTCCTTGATCCAGGAGAGGGCTGTGACACCAGAGGAGTGGACTTCAAGTCCAGAGAGCAAGTAGAGTACTTTGGGGGAGGGCACTGGCTTGGATTGGGGAGCTGGGTTTGCTGACCCAAAGAGTTAGAGCCTAGTGCCTTTGAGTTGAGGCTTATATTGGAGTGGCATGCCCGATGGGCATTTGAAAGGCCTAAAAGAGCCTCAGAATGTTGCCTGAGCAGGGAGGAAGCCAGGCCCAGTGGCTGAGGGCCAGAGAAAGGCCTGCCTGCAGGCATGGCAGAAAAGCAGCTGTCCTAACTAAACAATTGTATCCTGTGTATTTCTCATCTGAATTGTAACCTATCGACTTTCCTAATAAACCCCACAATCATGAACATCATCTGAGTTCTGTGTAGCCATTGCAATGAAGTATTGAATCCAGTCAGAGAATCCAGCCCACAGGAGCAGTTCCACCCTGTTATAGGGTTTGTTGTGGGTCAGCATTGACTCCACAGCATTGAGTTTTTTGAGTTAGACTCAAGCAGCAGTTCTCAACCTGTGGGTCGCGACCCCTTTGGGGGGGGGGTGTCGAACCAACCTTTCACAAGGGTCGCCTGATTCCTAACAGTAGCAAAATTACAGTCATGAAGTAGCAATGAAAATAATTTTATGGTTGGGGGGTCACCACAACATCTGTAAGGATGAACTTGGGCACAGGATGAGTGAGAGGTAAACTGAGGCACGGGTAGACGGACAAAGATAACTGACAGGACAAAGGGAGAGCAGAAACAGAAATAGCTTGATTAGAGGGGAGCTCCTGGGTGAAGCACCATGGTCTGGCAAGTAGCATAGGGGAATCGCAGGGCCCTGCTCGGGGTCTGGGATTTTTAAAGGAAAGCGGAGAGAAGGAGGTCCATGCTGCCGCAGCAAAGTTTATGGTCAAGGATGTCAGCAGTGAGGTTTATGGCCTAGGAGGTCAGTGGTAAGGTTGATGGCCCAGGATGCAGTTTATCAGCTCTGGCAGGTATGGTGTCCGGTTATCGGGGAGTCAGGCATCCTTGGTGCCTTTTCTCAGTCTCTTCATTCCGGGGGCAACTGCTGACCTTTAAGGGATTAGCAGGGAAGTGGGGCCAAGGCCTGCTTTAGCTGAGCCCATACAATGCGAACTGTATGAAAGGGCTGGGGCATTAGGAAGGCTGAGAACCACTGGGTTAGAGGCATAGAAGTACAGTGCCATGGGAGGGATGGTTGGTTTTAGAACAAGGTAAAAGGAATGGGCGGGGGTGGGGTGGGAGTGGGGCTGGGGAGGGGAAAGGGTGGAGGATCATGTCTGGCTTCTGCTTTGTGGTGATCAATCAGCTTTGGGAACCATAGGAGGTAAGATGTGGCATCTATTCCATTTCCTCAACTGCTAAAAATGGCGCCGAAACTACTTACTATGATTTATAAAGGTTTTTATTTTCATCTGTATAATTTAGTATCTAAAATTACTAGTTATTAGCAAAATACAGCACAAAGACACTAAAAAATATTAACCCCACCACATATGATTTATTAAAAAACACTAGTAAACTTTTTCCTCATGGTCACCCAAGAAAGACACATTTTATAGTTAGCTGAAGAAAATAATTGAAACCTGGCCCAAAACAATCAGCATGCATTTATAAAACATTGAGTATACTATTTGCTGTCCACCAAGTTTATTGAACACCTCCTATTTTTCAGGCTCAAAACATGTTCCCTTATAGAATTCTCAAATCTGTTACAAAAGGTAGAAAATGCTATCTTTTATTTTACAGATGAGACTGGTATGACTTTGTCTAACACCATAAACTATCCTGTCATTATATTTAATTCTATTAACTGACAGTTCGTAAGGAAACACTGCGTATTTTTTTCACATTTGTTTGCTTTTATATTCATTTTTCTTAAATTCTTTTATATTTAAATAGTATTTTTACAAGTATAATCATCTCTTCTTTTTACTAAACTCTAAGGCAATCATCACAATTTCTATAATTTCTCACTTATAAATCTCAGTAAAATACACATGAGTGATAATGTGTAATTTTACATAGGGAGGCTTAACAAAATTCAAGGGAAAACTCTATTATCTTTTAATTCCATATTCCACACTTTTTGAGGCTTCTCATATTACTGAATGTTTTTGTATTCTAGAAATGACACAGACACATACTTTAAAAAGCTACACTTGTTAAGAAATAGACTATGGTTTTTAAAATATACTTAACCTCATTTCCATATTTGTTATAAATATAACTATAAATAGTTTGTTAAGAAGCGCAAACAATTATATATTAAGATAGTCAATCACACACAATGTAAGGACATACAGGTTCTTCAGTGCTTATAACATTTCTAGAACTGTACTAGTGACTGGGTCCTTATTTTACTTCAACTGGAGTAATGTTATCAAATAAATCTTTTGTAATATAGGTGTGAAACTCTAGCCAAAAAGTTAAACACAGAATTGAATAACTATTGCAGTTATTCCAATAGTTAGCAATATCAGATTCTAGGCAACTTCTATTACTATGGAGTATAAACCCTTAGGTCATCAAGTGAATTTTAACTTATAGCGACCTTAAAGGACAGAGGACTCCCCCATAAGGTTTCTAAGGATGCAAAAGTCTTTACAGGTGCAGAATACCACAGCTTCCTCCCACTGAGTGGCTGGAGGATTTAAACCACCAGCCATTGTGCTCAGACTGTATGACCAGGGCTCCTCTTAGACCCTCCGATGCAGAAAACCTATCCTGTCAAAAGTGCGAAAGGGAAGAAACATAGTAAATGCTCTCATTGGGCTCCAGCTTGATAAGTCACTTGTCTAAGTTACACGCCAGTGGTAGAATCAGGAGAGATTCCTGGGCCTGATTTCTATTCGTGGCTCTTCTGACCACCATCACAGTTTCTCTCATTTTACAACTTAATTAAATTATTTACTATAAGTAACTTCAACTTGAAAAATGATTACATAAAGAGTTTTCTCCATAGCCCACAGTTCTCTGAGTTTTTTCTAAAAAATGAGTATTACAACAGAATGCCCAGTAGTCCACAACGTTAGAGGCCTGCAGAGCTTCAGTAAGATGAGCATTTCATACAAGAAAAGTTCACTTTACAAATAATTTGGTTTGGCTGCAAACAACCACCACCACCAAAGACCTTGGAAAAGTTATCGCTTTAAAATGCCTTATAACATAGTAACTTCGTACGTTGTGAAATGGTTCTCTATAATCTTGACGTTTTCTTCAGAGAGCCAGTTTTCCTGCTGCAGCTGCCTTATGAGAGCTTCCAAAGACTTTAATCTTCCCAGAGTCTGTTGCTCTTTTAGTTCAAGAAGAGTTATCTTTGAATGTAGCTTAGACACTTTCTGCCAAAGATATTCCTTATTTATGTCTTGTCTGCAGTAAGAATGTTCAGTTTGCAACACTTCTGCTCCATAGTCAACATCCCTGAATACGGAGTCTTCGGTGTCTACGTCCTCCATGGCCACAGCTTCTTGTTGGGCAGGGACAAAAGAATTCACTCGAGGCCTAGAATTTCCCGTGGGGACAAAAATCGCAATAACTGATTCCTTATTTGCATTGAAGTCTCCAACTGTTTGAGAAATTGTGCTGAATATAACAGGATGTTCCTGTGCTGACTTAATTCCCACAGAATTATCTGTAAAATTTGGATTAGCAATATGATTGGTAGTTATCTCAAATATTTCTTGGGTTTCCAAAGAGTGCTGAATCTCTTCTGAGTCAGAAGTGGTCAAAGTAATAGTGGTAGAATTTATATTCTCAAAAGAAGTGTGAAAACCACCTACACCTAGACCTTGGTTAAGTGCAGTTCCCAAAGCGGACTCTGGCTGTCCGGTACCTTGTTGAACCAGGTTGAGAGCTAATATATTATTTGGCATCCTCTCTGTTTTTGGAGCTGGTGGCGACACCAAACCAGTTGCGTCAAATAATTCTGTATATTTAGGGAGCACATCTGTGTTAACTGTATTTTTCTTTGGCTCATTTGATACAAATGCTTCTTCTGGCTTGGCTTTTTGGAACACTTCATGTTCATCTTCTAATTTTGTCTTATGAGACCTTTTTTTGGAAGCATCTCTTCCCTAGAAAATAATATTTTAAATTATATGAGATGACTATTCTAGTGTTCTTCTCTTAGTAGTTAGTGCTGACTATTCTAACTTTACTCAGTAGACTGGCCAAGTAAGCTTATTTACTTTAAAAAATAAAAAAGCTCTAAGTACATAACAACTCAAATATACCTTCAAGTTCTTCAAATGGCACTAAGCACATTCAATACATGATAGAAGTTTTAGATTATTCAAATGATCATGAAACAGCTGCGCTTATTAGCTTATATTAAAATATATGTGTAATTTTTTGTTTACTTCTTTTAAACTATGTTTCCTGACAGTTAAGATATTTAAAACCATTATTCTTTTAAGATATAAATCCATCTTTGTTTGCCCCAAGTACTTGCTTTACAACGAACGGTTCTGTTCTTCTCTCACCCCTCCCACCAGATAACCTGCCAGGCAATCTGCCATCCTGATCAAAATGCCCTTCTCTCCCCAGCAAGCTGTTCACCATACCTGATTGTCGCCAGATACGGAAAAGATTGTTGGAACTGCAGTTTGTTTCAAATAGCGAATACCCCATCTGATATCAAGAGAGTCGGGAGTAAAATGGTCACTACACAGGAACTGGTATTTACTAGGAACCCAGGAATCTCGTTTCATGTTCCTTAGCCATTTTTCAAGTCTTTCTTTGTCATGCAGAGGAAACCTGAGGGTGAAAAATAAGAGGGAAAACTCTGCTATAGTTTTACAGAGCTGCCAGAATCCAGGCCTCTTATGTAGCTCACGTGTGCCAGTGCTACGAAAGCAAGGCTACCGTCACTACAATTTGGAGAATCTTCATGAAAACGCTGGCTCTGCAGAACGTGCACTAGGATAAAATATGTGCTCCTACACAGGGTAAATTCCACTCACATTTTCCATGGATTTAAGTTGTTTTATTTTGCTGTGTGTTGTCTACTACACTTGAGTTGATTCTGACTCATTACAGTGACCCTGTTGGACTGCCCCTGTGAGTTTCCAAGACTGTAACATTTTATGGGAGCAGAAAGCCCATCTTTCTCCTGAGGAGTGGCTGGTGGTTTTGAACTGCTGACTATATGGTTAGCAGTCCAACCCATAACCACTATGCCACCAGGGCTCTATGAAAGAGCTTTGTATTAAGTACAAGTGCTATTCAAATGTATTTCAAACTAATATAATATGTCAAAAGTTTCTTGTCCGTAGTTTAAAGCAGTCTTTAAATTCAGGTTCCTTTTTATATGAAAGTTTCAATAGACTAGAATAATTTCTAAAAAGTATATACATAAAACAGTGAACACACTTCTCTCTAGACTGACAACCCAATTTGAAATAGGGACCTAATTTAACCGAACAATTTTGCTGACAATAACATATAATTTAACCAATAAATTGAGAACCCCAAAGCTCTAAAAATAATTTAAAAAAACTGATGCAAGAAAATGCAACATGTTAAAAGGAACAGAATCACGTTATATGAAAGACATCAAACTGAAAAGAAAGACAAGATAGTTCTGGTTGACTATAACAGATGATGATGTGTTTTCTAAGAAAAATTATATTATTGACAGTTAATTTAATAGGAAATATTTTGTCTTAATAGGGTTAAATAGTATTAACAATTATTGGTAGCAAATTGGCTTCATTTGGTGATTTTCCATTAACAACATTCAAGACATATACTGCGGTTATTTCATATTTTTAAAAACAGTTGCAATAGAAGTTCTAACACGAATCCAAACGGTTCCATTTATACTCGGTTGAGCATGATTCCTTTCTAAAGGTTAATAGTTTTAAATGAAGCTATGGGAAAAGGGTCTGGGTATTTGGTAAATATTCTTCCTTGGAGTCTTTATATGGAAAAGTCAAATGCTCTACTTTTCAAAGTTCAATATTCAGAGTTCATTAAAAAAATTTAGCCTTACACATATCAACCAAGTTAAGTTATAGGTATGATAAGATATAGTAACGGGGAAGTGGCATTTAACGGCAAAAGGAATTTTGTTTGAACAATACTTACATTTTGCTACCACAACCAAACAATTCATTGCCACAGTCAATTCTAACACACAGCAACCTTCCAGGAGAGAGTAGCCCTGTCCCTATGGGTTTCCCAGGCTGTACATCTATGTGGAGCGGCTAAATTCAAGCTGCTGACCTGGTGGTTAGCAGCAGCCCAACACTTAGCCCACTCTGCCGCTTGGTTAAGTTAATGGCTTACCTTTGCCATTACAACTAAGTTGAGAATGTGCCTTTTACAATGATGTACTTTTATGTAATTTCATTTAGAAGGCCAGTGTTTGCAGATTTTTATCTATTGTACCTAAGAGTTTACTTCAAAGTTTGTGGGACAATTCCGTGATCTTTTAAAAAAAGTTTTAAAGCCCTCTCATTTATACTAAGTTATCAAATAATGTAAAAATAGATTTTGTGAATATTTTTTGTTAGTAACTGGATTGTACTACCTCCTTAGTGGGTAAATTGCTAATATTTATTGGAATATGTTTGTAGCACAATTTGGTACCTTTATGTTGTTCACTTTATTTAGTAATTTTAGTTCACTCTTATTCACATCAGATAATTGCAGTATAAACTAAACTGCATGTGAACACCTACTAAATCTCCAAACTCATAAAGATTTATACTACAGATGCTATAGTTTCAGTATGAACCAATTCAGCAGGTTTAGTGCTATTGGGAAATAAAAATAGTATCTTTTTGAGTTAATATGGAGGCAAAAATGGATCAAAAATTAAAACCCTACATTCACAAAATTTAGAGTTATGAGGCTGGGAGGGATCTTTAAGGGTGCCTTCATCTCACACCACATTTAATTTCTCTTTAAAAACAGTAACTGTGAGGCCACAGAGATAGATTTAAAGAATTTTTAAGTTTGGGCTTATGACTCCTCACCCAAATAGGAGGTCAAATAATCATAAATATGGGACCAAATAAGGAATTATCGTAGTAGTAGATGACCCGAATATAAGTCATGGTACCTAAGTTTACTCCTCCAAACTGGGAAAACATATTGACTCGAGTGTAAGCCTAGGGTCGGGAATGCAGCAGCTAGTGGTAAATTTCAAAATAAAAATAGATACCAATAAAGTTACATTAATTGAGACATCAGTAGGTTAAATGTTTTTGAATACTTATTTCAAAGAAAAACAGTAAACTAGCTCTGTAAGTAGAAAAGAGGGTCAACAAAAACAATATGGTATCAACAATAACTATACACTCTGTTATTGCATTCGCTGCATTACTATATATGCTTCCTTGCCGCATGTACACAATGCAGCTTGTATAGTTTGAGGCCTAATGCAGGCTGATGATATTCCAGAATGTGATGACTGTTTGCATAGAGCAGCCTGTGTTAGGGCTCATAATATACATGCTGCGTGTGCACGCACTGTTATTGCATGTGCTGTGTTACTGCACACGCAGTGTTACCGCATATGTATGGGGAGTGCTAACTCAACACAGGCTGCTCTGTGCAAGCATAGTCAACACTGGGTCCAGATAGGCGTTAGTAAGAAAATAAAAAATAAAATATAGCAGACTAAGTACTGTAAATAAACGTACTATATATCCAAGACCAGAGACATACCAGTACTTGTATTCTGCAATGCTTGGGTGGAATAAGGGGGCGTGACTAAGCACAGGTAAGACTGTAAAGGTTACTTCACTGGTCACAGCCCTGGAGAAGAGCAGAGAAGACTGGCCACATGCGACATTCATCTGACAGGGATGCAGTGCCCCTCAGGTACCAGCATACAGAAGCGGGCAGGTTCTCACCCAGTACAGCACGCCCAGTATAGCACACACAACAGAGGTGGTGATAACAGTAGTTATCAGACCACCCACAGAGGCTGCAGGCGCCAGAGGATGAGAGGGAGACCAGAGAACACTTGCACCAGAGAAGAGGTGAGTGGGACCCTCACTTGAGTATAAGCTGGGGGTGGGGGTGGGGGGTTTCGGCACAAATGTGTGAAAAACTCAGCTTATACATGAGTACATATGGTAAGTTCAACTTGATCGTACCTTTACTACAAAATTTCTCAGAGTCAGAACCATTAATAAAGAAGCATTTCCCAATCAATTGACCAAAGTTCATCTCCATCCTCAGCCCGCCAAATCTCTTTTGCATCTTGTGGGTTTTAAGGGAGACAATCCCGGAAAGTAAACTGCCAGGCAGCGTGAGGGACTTGGAATTAGCCGTACTTGAAATTTTGTCTAAAAGAATCGAAAACAGCTGAGTCATGAGTGGACAGAGCTTTTCGTCTCAAGTAAAACAGGCATAAAAAATAGCTGTGGTGAAAATTCAAAGAAAGTAAAACACATCCTGGTTAGATCTACCGGAATTCTTTTCAAAGACCGAAACAGGGAAATTTAATACTTTGTTGGTCGTCACGCTTTCTGTATATATAACCCATTTAATGTGTGTCAGATGCTGTTTTATCGCTTTCAGTTATACTCTAAACCCACCCTTTGGTACAATTCTCTCCTAGAGCGTTGCTGTGCATATGAACGGACTGGGCACCGCGATCGAGAAATCTGAGAAAAGCTTAAATAATTTACCAGAGTACGCTACAAGGTAGTGGTGGCAAGATTGGAACTCGTCAGCCGCTATTAGTTGGAATCAACTCAATGGTTTGGGATAGGGTGTCGTTTCCCACATATACTTGCTGGCACCAGGAATTCAAGGTCAGTTACCTAAGTTCTGAGCCTCAGTTTTCTCCAGAAACCTGTACTAAAATAATACCCACCTGCCAAAGCTGCAAAGACAGGTCTTTTTTCCGAAAGACCATAGCCTTGAGAATCTGTACACTTGAGGTTGCCAAGAGTCGGATCGACTCCGGGCAACTATCAAAACTCAGCCTAACAAATTTGCACCTTCTCGCTTTGCACTTTGCAGATTTAATGTCACTATGTGGTGGTTAATGTCGTTCAAGGAAATGTGGGCAAATGGGGTGGGAAAACGCGCTAAATAACGCGGCACACCCTGCAATCTGTTATCAACACCCACACAAGCCCCGATGCCTGGCTCAGAAGCGACATTTCCAGGTACCCTGAACTCCACGTCCTCGACCCACGCGAGCACTGGCTACGGCCAGAGCTGACACGACAGGACGTGCCCGAGCCCTGGCTCTTACAGCTGCAGGGCCGCGGCCCACAGCGGGGATGACGTTTCTGCTGCAGGGGCAACTTACGGGTAAAAACTCAGTTTCCGGTCTTTATTATTCCGTCCCCGGCGGTTCTTACAGCCAACCGCTGCACAATAGCGGGGCATTGCTCAGGTGACACCCCGGGGAACCGGGCCCAGGTAGGGATCAGCCGGTCCCTCACTGAGGCGGGGTCGCGGGTCCAAGCAGCCGGTGCCAAGTGCGCCTGCGCGCGAACCGGCAAAGGGGAAACGCCGCAACTATCAACTCACTTCCGCCTCCATCAACTCACTTCCGCCTCCGAGGGCTGCCGGACCGCCCTTTGGGGGGTGGAGCCGGATGTGACGCACAGTCGGAGCGGCAACAACAGTTTTCCACGTGCGCGTAGGGCCTTTGAGTCACGTGGGGAGGCGGAGCCAATGAGGAAGCGTTTCGTGTAGGTCTTCCCTTTAGGTGTCTGCAGCAGCGGCGGACGCCCGCCAGAGAGGCGCGCTCTGAGAGGACGCGGCGGTGGTGGCGGCGAGCAAGCGGCAGAGGGACGCGCGCCGGCAACTGGAGGCCGCGGTAAGAGGCTGGGACCGAGCAGCCGCGTAGAACCGACCCAGTCGGCCTCACCGGCGTCGCGGCTTCCTAGAGCTGGAGCCACCGGAGGGTGCGGGCAGGGGCGAGGTCGCGTCCCGGGAAGGTTTGGGGCGCGTCCCCGGGCTCCTGGCGGTCCTTTGTGGGCAGGCTTGGCCTGGCCATCCAACTCTGTCGCCAGAAGGGCTTCGGGCTTCCAGCTACGCGTGGCGGAGGGAGTAGGAACCAGACACCGGGCCCCGGAGGAGCGCGTTGAGGGTTCTCGGCTGCCGCCGGCTCTTGGGGGCTTCGGGAGCCTTTCTCCGGCTTGGAGCCGGGCCGAGCCGGGCCGCCGCGGGAGCTCGTAGCCCCGGGTAAAGGTTGGACGGTCGCGCTCGTCGGCTGCCGCCGCGGGCCTGTTTGGGGGTGAGGGTTCTGTATCTGCACAGTCCACGTAGGAATGTGGGATTTGGAACAGTGGAGGACATTCCCGGAACCTTTGGTCAGGTGCACCCGCACCCCCCAACCTTAGGCCGCGCCCTGACTTGGGGGGAGCCCGCCTTCGTTGGCTTCCTCGCCACCCGACTGAAGATTGCGGTGGTCCTGGCTCCCCGGGGCTGGGAGTAGCTCTCAGGAAAGGAGTGTAATCCGCCTAATTAACGCGCCGAGAGGCCACAGGAGAGGAAGGCTGGCAGTTTCCACAAACCATCAGATCTTTTCGTCAGCCTTGCTATGTCATCAGAGGTTATTAAGGACTCCTCTGTTAACAGCATTCAAACACCACAAGGAAGAAACACCTAGCCTCTCTTGGTTCCGAATTGCAAGTCATCCAATCCCAATTTTCACGAGATAGTTGTGCAATTGTAAGGTAAAACCTCTTTTAAAAACCTCCTTAGGGAAATCGTGTAATAACTACTGAGAAGTTGAAAAATAACCTGAGTACAAACTCTTGGGGGCAGCCTTACAAGCAGAAATCTTGAATTCTCTTTTGGGAGTTGTATACACAGCTTGCCTACTCATGCTTCTTTGTTTAATAACCGGTGTTTTACATTTTAAAAAATCAGTTTTAACATGTAAAAAGAGAAGTGCATTACTCCGTTGGCTTGTTGGTGTTGTGATGCTGAGTACAATTCTCAATTTACATACCTGGACTCACTTTTGTTGAGTGTAAACTGAAGCTAGATGTATACTGGCTTGTACTAGGAGCCCTGGTGGATTAGTGGGTTCCTGTCTGCTAACCTCAAGGTCAGTAGTTGGGACCCCATCAGCCTCTGTGGGATCCCATAAAGATTTAGAAACCCTACAGAGTAGTCCTGTCCAGCCCTTTAGGGCCACTGAGTTAAAATCAACTTGATGGTAGTGGGTTTGGGCCAAGCTCAGCTGTTTACCTTGGTAATGCCCTCCCCCACCCCCATGAAGTTAAATGTATTTTAATATGAGTTCTTGAAGATAAGATTGAGATCTTCTAAAACATTATTTGGATTTTCCACCAGTTCTGCAATGCTTGCCTAGGATAGGTTTTTAATATTAACTGATAAAATCTGTTATTTAATACCTTTCTGTCTGCTCTGAAAGGCGAAGCCAAGACAATTGTGTCTCGGTTTGGTTGGAAGCTGTTTGTGTTCTCGAAATCAAACAAAACAAACTCACTGCCATTGAGTCGATGCAGCAACAGGGTGGAACTGCCCCTGTGAGTTTCTGAGACTTAACTCTTTATAGGGGGTACAAAGCTTTGGCTGCAGAACGAATGGTGGTTTCGAACTGCTGGCCTTGCAGATCAAAGCCCAATTTGGAACCACTAGCTAACATGTAACAGCTAAATTGGGGATAACAACACTGATATGTAAATGGAATGTTTACAGATGCACTATATTATATGCCTAATATCTATATATTTTTCATGAATGATTGTTCCAGCCATTTATTAAGATCATTTTATTGGGGGCTCTTACAGCTCTTATTACAATCCATCCATCCATTGTTAAGCACATTTGTAGATATGCTGCCATCATTTCCAAATGTATTTTCATTCTACTTGAGCCCTTGATATCAGCTCCTCCCATTCTCCCTCCCTTGTGAACCCTTGATAAATGATGTGATTTTCATTTCTTACATCATCTGCTGTCTCTCTTCTCCCACTTTTCTGTTGTTTGTCCCTTGTCATGGGGGTGGTGTGGGTGTTAGGTGGATCATTGTGGTTATGATGGGGTCACCCGCCCCCCCACCTTCTACCCTCCTGGTTTTACTACTCTCATTGGTCCTGAGGAGTTTGTCCTGGATTCCCTGTGTTGCAAGCTCTTATCTGTACCAGTGTATGTGCTCTGGTCTAGCCAGATTTGTAAGGTAGAATTGGGGTCATGATACTTGGGGAGGGGGCCAGCATTAAAGTACTAGAGGAAAGTTGTATGTTTCTTCGGTGCTATACTGCACCCTCACTGGCTCATCTCTTCCTTGGGACCCTTCTGTGAGGGGATGTCCAATTGTTTACAGATGACTTTGGGTCTCCACTTTGCCCATTTTGATAATGCATTAAGTATTTCTTGGATCCTATAAGTTTACTGGATTTTTAATTTTACTTTCTAAAGAAAATAGTCTTCAAGTTTAACTGAGGATTAAAACCTTTTTTTCTCTCCCTCATCTCTTTTAGGATATTAGAAATGGCTACTCCCCAGTCAGTTTTCATCTTTGCAATCTGCATTTTAATGATAACAGAATTAATTCTGGCCTCAAAAAGTTACTATGATATCTTAGGTGTGCCAACGTCAGCATCAGAGCGCCACATCAAGAAGGCCTTTCACAAGTTGGCCATGAAGTACCACCCTGACAAAAATAAGAGCCCTGATGCTGAAGCAAAATTCAGAGAGATTGCAGAAGGTAAATTCCTGAATTTCTTTTGAGATCTTGATTGGAGAGTGATAGTTAAGAATTTTGTGTTTGTGTGGATGTGTTTGAAGGTCTTCTGGAGGTTGGAGTGGCTCTACATTTATATAAAGTGAAATTCTCCGAGACTCTCAGAACACATACTTTAAATTGTTGGATAGATGAAAAATGTTAGTGGTGTATAAGTCTAAAAGTATTGAAATGTGGTACTTTATTCTTGTGTTATTTTAACCTTGCTTATTCTATGTGAAAAAGTATTTTTAGAATGCAAAACGCTTAGGAAGTATTTTATGAAATACAGAATTTTACTAATAGGGGGATTGAAGAAGAATCAAAATAGACCTTGCAATGCTTTGGATTCCCCCCCTCTCCCCCAACTTGATAGATATTTCAGAGTCACATTTGCAATAAAAGGAGAGTTTGAATGAAGTAAATTTTTATTTAAGACAAGTTCAGAAACGTGCAGCAGTTCCTGACCATTCAGTAACTGAGTACAGAGTTGGGATGAAACACATCAACTGATTGGGAAAGGAGCACTCCTATGTTTCTATTCATTGGTTGCTTGACTTATTTTTTAATATAAGTATTGACTTTAAACAAATAACATAAGATAACGATAACTCAAACTGTTGTGAACATAGTTACTTCTAATAATGGTAACTCAGTGCCATTGAGTCAGTTCCATTCCCGTGATCCTATAGGACAGAGTAGAACTGCATCTGTAGTTACTGAGGATGAAACTCTTTATGGGAGTGGAAAACACCATCTTCTGAGGATCGGCTGGTAATTTGAACTGCTTATTACCAGCAGCCTTTCTACTAACTGACTGTGCCACCGTGGGGGGAAAGAGCCCCTAACAAATCATCACCCGTCTAGTACGCGATGATAAATAAGATCATAGTAAAGTCATGGAGAACATGAGAGATAGAAAAGAGATTGAAATATTGGAGTCAGACACATATCATGGTACCATGCTCACCTCAGCCCTGCTTCGTGGTCCATGAGGAGAGAGCCAGAGATAGCGGGCAGGGGAGCAACTTTATTGCTAACCAAGGCTTATATCTCTTTAGGGGAACCTGATTACAGGTAACCACACGACACAGGAAGGGGATGTACAATAGGCATAAGCATGACAAGAAGGGGATGAGCTAGGGGTGTACACATGATAGGAAGGGGTGGAACTGGAGGTCTATATGGGACAAGGTGGGCGGACCTAGACTCATGATGGCGGCCTAACCTTGCTCACCCTTCACCTCCCTGGGCTCTCTGGAAAACAATTTACTGCTGTCCTTATCAGAAGGGAGTGGGCCCTACTTGTGGGATAAACAGTGGTGCCTGCTTGCTTTGGGTGGCTGATAACCCTTAGGGAGAATAACGCCTGACCTACTTCTATTGACCTCCAAGTGTCTAGTCATTCGCCACATGTAGAAAGCAACTAAGTTTGGCATATATTTGGGGGAGACAACTTGGGAGAAATCTTTGTTTCCCACATGCCACATGGTACTTCCTAGTGGCAGGAATTTTGATGTCGATTGGTAAATACAGCAGTGAACAAGACAACCTTTGGGCAGTGGGAGGAGTAGGTTGTAGCTTTCACTTTATTATATTTGTATAGGTTTTTGTGATGTAAAATCTTGTAGACCAGTTGTTCTCAACCTGTGGGTCACGACCCCCTTGGTAGGTCTAACGACCCTTTCACAGGGGTCGCCTGATTCATAACAGTAGCAAAATTACAGTGATGAAGTAGCAACAAAATAATTTTATGATTGGGGGGGTCACCACAACACGAACTGTATGAAAGGGTCACGGCATTAGGAAGGTTGAGAACCATTGTTCTAGACTATAGAGTTGGACCCGTTTATTTCAAAATGATGATCATTTTTAATAACTTCACTTACGTAAGTATATTTCTCTCTTTCAGCATATGAAACCCTCTCAGATGCAAATCGGAGAAAAGAGTATGATACAGTTGGACACAGTGCTTTTACTAATGGTAAAGGACAAAGAGGCAGTGGAAGTTCTTTTGAGCAATCATTTAACTTCAACTTTGATGACTTATTTAAAGACTTTGGGTTTTTTGGTCAAAACCAAAACACTGGATCCAAGAAGCATTTTGAAAAGCACTTCCATACTCGCCAGGATGGTTCCAGTAGACAGAGGCATCACTTCCAGGGGTTTTCTGTTGGAGGCGGACTGTTCGATGACATGTTTGAAGATATGGAGAAAATGTTTTCTTTCAGTGGCTTTGACACTAACAGTCAGCATACCGTACAGACTGACAATAGATTCCATGGATCTAGCAAGCACTGCAGGACTGTCACTCAGCGAAGAGGAAACATGGTCACCACATACACTGACTGTTCTGGACAGTAGTGTGTTCTTGGCCTGTCCAACTACTTGACTCTTCTTCGGTAAATTTGATGGAAAACATTTTTTGTGTGAACTATTTTGACAAGTGCATGATTTCACTTCTTTGAACAACTTAATATAGCCATTAAATATGTTTAGATTGTTTTCGATCAACATTCATCTAGTTAGAGAAATCATAATTTCTCTGAATAGTGAAGGTTCTTTTAAAAGAAAAAGGTATAGACTTACCTGACTTTTTTGTTTTAATCTATTTGCCTTTGGGCTTATCAATGTGGTCAGTCTTACTACCAAGAAAAGATTGAATTTGCCTGATAATGTACAAAGACTAAACTTTAAAAATTACTGTAGATTTCAGTTTTGTAACCTTGAATGAATGTTGCAGTGGAGTCTTTACTCATTTAAAATTGCATGTGCTGCAGCATCTCTGACTTGGGTCCCTAAATGTACTTGGTACTGTGTCATTGAGTCATTCAGCAAAGGAGAGCAGTATCGTGGTTAATTGCCACCGGGCGATTTAGAAATCTAACTTTCCAGAAGAGTGAAACCGTTTTTTTTTAAATTGGCATTTTCCCTAAGCTGACTCTAGAAAGGCTGTTGTGTGGCTTGATACTTAAACCCAGGACTACCTCTGTCAGCAGATGGAGTCGGCTAGAGGAAAGCTTGTAGTCATTTAGGTTGAAAGTAACTTGAAACCATGAGCTATTGCCAAGAGATAGTTTTGTGTTTGGCTGCCAGCGAATGGTTTTGTAGTCTTGAAATCATAGCCACTTTACACATCTTTTCATATTTCTCTTACTTGCTGACACTCTTAAGTTTTAAGACGGATTTATGTGTTTTGTAGTTCCTCCTTGCACTCATCTGTATCTAGATTGACTAATACCTCATTCTGTTTGTAAAAACAGCCAGTAATTTCTGTTCAACCTTATGTGCAATATTTTTAAATCCTAAGAAATGTGTGCTTTTGTTTTCAGATAACTTCCTTCTTTAGTTCTGCACTTTCCCATGTACTCCGTAAGAGTATTAATCCTATGGATATATTAAAACTAGCAAATGTCTCATGCAACATTGTGTGAGTTAAAAAATACAATATTTACAACTCATGTGTTCTGATGTCTTTTTATTGGTAAAAGTTTATGCAATTCTGGAGGTAGAAAAGGTATGTAAGCAATTGGGCTGAATATGCCGATTCCAGGATTATTTTTGTCTAATCTGAAAATACTGCTATGATTTTGTGTGCTATTTAGTATTTTGTTGTAATCCTTTCCTCACACATTTATTTAAGCTTATGATAAGTATAATTTTGTCGTATTTGCTTGTGGGAGCCCAGGTGCCATAGTGATTACACATTGGACTATGAACTGCAAGGTCCACAGTTTAAGACCAGCTGCTCTTTCAGAGAAAGACTCACAGGACTGCTTTACCCTGTGTTTCTGACACCCACCTGTTCCTTATTTAGGCTTGGTTGGGAAAATTTTTACACCCAAGATAACTACAGAGCAACTCTATACTAACGTGGGCTTGCTAAATTACTCTGGCAAATGGGAACAACGAAAAGGGGGTTTCAAAAGTTTGCTAATACTTTTGATTTTTTTTTCACCGTGAATTTTTTTACCCACCCCCCACCCGCCCCTCTTGTTAGATTGTCCTTAATTTGAAAACTGAAGTGAAGTATCCTATTTTTCAGGAAATTATACTTTTGTTTTATAGTAAGAAAATAGCCATACCTTTAATATTAGACTGAGGACTACAGACTATAAAAAATTAGACCAAAAGATATGCTTTTAACAACATTAACTTTAAGGGTACTTGGTTTTTATATTGGAAGCATCTGCCCCTCCCTTTTCTTCTAAGGCCTATTAATTGTATTTTCCCCATTCGGGACTTTTATCTGATTCCATCATCTTTTTCTCCTTTATATCTTTTACTTAGTTTTCAGAGGGAAAGATGACCATATTGGAAAGTTACAGTAGTGTATATAAGCAACTGGAAAATTTGTACAAAGATAAAAAGGGGGAGAACTTCTGTTTTTAGTGAAATGAATGACCAGTAGTATAGCTTTGCGTGTGTCTGTGTCCTATACAAAGACAAATAGGAAGGTTTTCCAAGTATCCTTAGGAAATAGTGTACTGTGACCTTAAATCTTTTTTCTTGAGGTAAATTCTGTAACTTCTTTGAGCTCTCTAAGTGCAACAATTGGATTGGATGCTGTGGGGCATGAAGTAGAGGCTTCTTTAGGGCATTGGTGTCATGGCCCAGGCGTCCTAAAACTAGGGCCCACGGGCCACATGCGGTCTGCCGAGGACATTTATCCAAGCCCGTTGGGTGTTTTTGCCCCATTTGTTTTTTTACTTCAAAATAAGATATGTGCAGTGTGCATAGGAATTTGTTCATAGTTTTGTTTTTAAACTATAATCCAGCCCTCCAATGGGTCTGAGGGACAGTGAACTGGCCCCCTGTTTAAAGTTTGAGGTCCCCTGTCATGGCCTCTCAGTATTGCATTATTTGACTTGTAAGTCTTACAGCTGGTTAAAGGCAGAGTTTTTCTTGAGCTAAGAATTTCAGTTCCACTTGGTTGAGATTAGTTTCATGAGAATTGGAATGCTCAAGATCAATTAATTTGCATGTTCTTTGGGGTGGTCATCTTAATTTTTTTGAAATAAGATTTTTTTGTACAGTAACGAAGAAATCAAGACCATTACTAAACGGCAGACATAGCAGTGGGTCTCCTAAGTGTATGTTCTGCTAATCCCGATGAAGGTCGTGGTTATGCTTTGGGCTGCCAACCACAAAGGCAGAAACCACCAGCGGCTCCAAAGGAGGAAGATGAGGCTTTCTGGTCCCATAAAGAGTTAGTCTCGGAAACCTATGGGGCAGTTCTACCCTGTCCTGTAGAGTCCCCATGAATCAGAATTGACTCCATGACAGTGAGCTTGGATTATGCTAATACTGGGGTTTTTAGTTCCAGAAGACAGATTGGATACAGTCAGTGATTGTTGCCCTCTCCCTTGGTCTCAAATGACAGAACACATACAAGAATGGCATGGCAGTACCTGGAAACAGCAGCCAGGTGTTTTGAGACATTGCATGAAGGTAGAAAGGATACGAGACTGGATTCGGAGAAATCAAAATAAAGTCATACAGTTCCTTGTATAAGCTCTAAAGCTCACATTGGAAAAACATCCACAGCCATGTTAAATGTTAAATGCAGCTGCAGAATCTGCTTAACTCAAGGGAGGAGGATAATGCTGATTCCTATGAGGCTGGCGGCAGACATACCTTCAACCTTTTTACCAGTACTGATGCTAGCTGCCCCTCCCACGGCACTATGCTGGGTTTACTAACCCACTGCAATGGCCACACAGAACGCAGCATATTCACAGTTAAGTAATTTGAGGAATGGTGCAACTTGGAATCAAGAAACATGTAACCAGTTTCCCTTCTTTAGTGGGCTCACAAAGAATTCTGATTCTTAATATATCAAATTTTATACCCAAACTCTTAGCCAACCTCTCCCCAAGTGTTGCCCCATTGTTCAGTTACTATTTATTGTTACTCATTATAAGGGATGGCCATGGTTTTGAGAAGGAATCATTTTCATTTCTGCGCAAGTTCTCCTGTTACGTACACTTTCTTCTGAATGTATTAATTAGCTCCTTTTCTGTTTCTTCCTCCAATAGAATAAATCCCCTTTCCACTTATTCTTGTTACTTAACACTGCCTGTAATGAAAGGGGAAAAAAGAATTAGGAATGAGATTAAAATTTATAATGAATACCAAAACCATTCAAAAGATTAATAAATGTGAATACAATGAAAGACCAAATTGGTGATCTGCAAGGCTATTAGAAAGTAGAGCAAGAAGAAATTGAGAATATGAAAGAAAAACTAAGGTTTAAGGCTGGTCTATATCTTGAGCTATGGTGGCACTGGAGGTTAAAGTTAGAATGATGAGACTGTCCCCATAAAGATTTACCTTCTCAGAGACCCTTTACAGGGTGGTTATGCATCAGAAGCAACTCAGTTGTAGTGAGTTTTATGCTTATCTTAAAAGAGTTCCAGAAAGAAGACAAGCAACAAAAGGGAGAAAAGAAGTGTTCTGTAAGCTGATTGAAACAAAAACCAAGAACTATTACCAAGACTTATTCATGAAATGCCTGAATTCGTAAGGAGAAAATTCAAAGAGGTTCCAGAGATACTTATTAATCCGTTCATCAAATATTTACCAAATGTATGCTGTGCCAAGCCCTGTTTTGGTGTGTTGAATAAATTTGTCAGTCAACAATCTTGGAGCTTACAGATAGGAGAAAGGACACAACAATAACCATAGTAAATTAGCATATTATGATGTAAGGTGATGAAATGGAAAAAGAAAACAGCCTGGAAGGAGAATTGGGCTGTCAGGCAGGTCAAGGGCATGTTGCAGGTCTGTCACTAGGCTTCATTGAGAAGGTGGATTTTTGCAGACTTAAAAGGAGTTAGTCTTATAGGAGGTGTTTTGGCAAGTTCTAGGAACATGGAAGAAGTCACTGTAGCCTCAGCCCGGTAAGTAATGGAAGGGAGCAGATCAGATCATGAAAGTCTGCAAACTTTCTTAAGGGATTTGACTTATATTCTAAGTGCAATGTGAAGAGATAGCTGAGTTTTGAGTAGATAAATTACTTGATCTGTCATATATTTTAAAAGGATCTCTCTAGGTATATTATGCTCCTTAGAAGCAAGGATGGCACGACTTCGTCTTACATACTTTGGGCATATTGTCAGGAGAGACCAGGCCCTGGAAAAGGACATCAAGCTTGGTAAAATGGAGGGGCAGCAAAAAGGAGGAAGGCCTTCAGCGAGGTGATTAACACTGTGGCTGAACAATGGGCTCCGTCACAGGAACAATTGTAAGGAGGGCGCAGGACCTTGCAGTCTTTCATTCTGTAGTGTAGAGGGTTGCTATGGGTCAGAACCAACTCCATGGCACCTAACGACAGCAACAACTATCATCCTGAGAATAGTAGAGGGTCAAAGGTAGTATAGGGAGGCCAGCTCAAAGGTTATTAGAGTGTTCTCAGATGAGAAATCTTTGCAGATCGTACCAAAGCTCACAGTGGAGGTGGGGAGAAGTGATTGGGCTCAGATGTTTTCTGAACGTAGATATAGAAGGTTTGCTTATGGGTTTGATGCTGGCGTGCAAGGGAAATAAAAGATGATCTATAACTCTGTGTTCTTGGTTACTGGAAGGACATTTGCCATCCAGTACGATGAGGTAGACTGCTAGAAGAAGATATTTAGGAGGGATAATCAGAAATACAGTTTGGATATGTCAAAGTTAACATGCTGAGTAGGTAGGTAGGGATATGTCTGGAGTTTGCTGGAGTTTTTATTTCATTTCTCAAAAAAAATTGGGAACTGTCTGAAATCTTATAGTATGAGAAAATTCTAAAAACTTCCAGAGAGACTTACTCCATAATTCCTTTGCTAAGTCTTTACTACATGTCTAATTGTGCAAGGCACTGTTCTAGGTGAGTAGATATGGAAAATTAATATGGGAAAGACTGGACGAAGATCCAAACTTTGTTAAACAAGTTTCTTTCATAGAAGCTTTAATGTTGTAAAGTACAGTGTGAATACCTGGCAGAAACACTTAAGGTTTATTTCCCAAATTTACCGGGTCATAGAACCAATTTTACCCAGGATATTCATAAACACACCCATGTGTGAAATTTGAAAAATACTGGTCTAAATAACATGGAGCGAATAATCATTGAATCATTGGAACATATTTGCCGTTGGAAGGGGTGTTAGCCCCACACCACTAATCACGGGTTCGATGGATACAATTGTACGGTTATTATATATAAAGATTATAGTAAAGTCATTGAGAGCATGAGAGATAGAAGAGAGATTGAAATAATGGATTCAGACACATTTCATGGTAGCATGCTCACCTCCTGGATGGCCATGATCTTACCAGCCAGGTCCTTGCACAGCATGGGGCAGGGACTGGGCAGGATGCTCGAGGACCCTGATTATTGCTAAACAAGGGCTATATCTACTTAAGGGGGGGAGGCGTGATTACAGGTAACCACACATCACAGGAAGGGGCAGTACAATAG